ATATATACATATACATATATATAAATATACATATATATATAAATATATATATAAATATATTCATAAATACATACATACATACATACATACATACATACACACACACACACATATATATATATATAATATAACCAGAGCTGTGGTTGGTTGAGTTTGAATAATCAAATGATCATACCCGTTTATTTTTTATTTGACATGGGCGGATATAGTGCCATTGAAACAACTACGCATGTTATTCCTCAAATGAGTGTACAATGCTACCACACCACGGGCTGAGATAAATGTTTCACTAGCTATTGTGCAGTTTGTATGCGGAGGGTCTGCACTGACGCATGGGGCACAGAGCCACATAAGAGCCAATACAGACATACACCCAGCAACATGCACACACACACAGGGCAATGATCAAATAACCACAGACACCCATTACATCTTAGTGAATAACATACCGTTAACAAATGGTAGTTACTTAAACTTCCGTAGGCAGGACTACTGCTATCTCCCCATCGTCCATTCGGGTATCGATCCCACTCACTCGTGCGTAGTTTATAAGTGGAGGGTCTGTACTGCCAGTGAATTGGACGCACTGTCTCAGACTCTCTCCTAGAGCCTAATGCACCATCGGCCTGTGCTTGGCTGAAGGGCAGACTGCGCACTACAGACGACGGGGGGACGAGATGTATGCCGAGTGTACATACTCACACTTGAGTATGCGTAATGGCGACAACGGCTTCTACTACATGATGGTACTATTGTCAAACTGCTAGGCAGGCAAGTTAATGCAGATTGAATGATAGGGTTCATAGGCCCTAGAACCTTAAATCGACTGTATGTTCCATAATTGCTATGCTTTAAGAGGTGGTATACGTCATAAAACTTTCAGTGGAAACAACGGTAAAACTGTAATATCAATTAGTATGCGCATACATGAACACACGTTAACACACAAGTCTGCAGTAGAACATCATGTTCAAGCACAGATAGATACTAGAACACATGTATATACGTATATATATATATATATCGTGAAGAATAACACACAACTATGAATATTGACACACACACATAGCGGTAAATATACGTATATATATCTCTTGAAAGACGACACACATTTATGTATATTCACACACACATACCAGCATATATACGTACACATACGATACACGCAGCATGTACATACTTGAAGTAGGGGTGCGCCGTTTATTATTTTCGCCAACTGTGCTCAATTGATTGTCCAGCAAAATTTGAGTCAGCGGTTGCTCCAGGTTCATGGTGAAGAAATGGAAGTTTGATTCGCCACTTTCCTTTAACTTGAGTATGATTTCTTGTAGAACCTGTACAATTTCGAAGAAATAAAGTAAAAATGTAGTTTAAAATAAATAGTCATATGCAAAACATCCGCTACTTTGTACCAAGCGTCGTATATCAAAGCAGTGGCCGAGAAGATAGTGTGAAGGTCATGCATACCTGCTGTCCGTAGGCCTGCACCTTTGCATCATCGTTACGTATGCTGTCAAGGGTCTTAGCCATGCCCTCGGGGATAGTTATACCAGCTAGCTTCACTACGCGCACCAGTTGCTGATATCCGGTGATTGGCATCAGACCAGGAATGATCGGAACATTTATACCTGCATATCATGGCCATGGGGATACAATGCCCGATTAGTGGTCAATAAAACTTGATATTGGTATATTGGGAAACAGGAACTACACATATACAGTCGAAACGTAAACCACGTTTATGGAAACAAAACTACCATCAACAATAGTTGATACTCACGCGCACGCGCATGCTCGAATCGCAACTAGTAGCTTCTCGGGGGAGGGCTCAAGAATCGCAAACGTATATTATATATATATATATATATATATATGCATAATTCCAGATAAACAATAAAGATCATACAGAGCACTCTTACAATCACGGAACACTTTTCCTACTGACATTTGTCAAGCACAGCTACGTACACATAAAACCATATTTCACATAACTACCTTGCCCACTTCTAATCACTCGCATGCACATTTTAGAACACATTCGGATCGAAAAATTATGGTATCAAGATGAAGTCAGCACCCGTATACACTTTCTTCGTGAGCTACTTATCACATACGCAAAAAACGACAACATACACATAAAACGACAACATACACGTAAAACGACATACATACTAACATAGACCAGCACATACGCAATTAAAAAAACACCACATACGCACATCTATCCATGTATACAGAAAACCACGCACACCTACGTAGACGCAAACAAACAAAACGTTCTGAATCAATATACTTACCAGCTTCTCGACACTTGCGCATATAGGTTAGGAACACCTCTGGGTCAAAGAACACTTGAGTTAGAATGAAGTCAGCACCCGCAGTCACCTTCTCCGTCAAATGCGCAATACCATCGTCCACTTTGTCAGCCCCACACCCCACACGACCCTCCGGGAAGCCAGCCACACCTAATATATCAGATTGATCGATGAGTACTATATTATATATATGTACATATATATATATATACTACTGTATGTGAGAGGGCAAGCGAATGGGTTCGCTATTCGAAAGAAACCGTCATCGAGAAAGTGTTTATCATGCGTCTTTGCTACTTAGTAAATATGTGCATGCTTGGGATACAAAGGTGCGTATGTATAAGTTTGTTTAGCTTGTCAAAGTCGGAACTATGAAACCAAAACACAAATACAACTACACCAGGCACCCAACAACAGTGACGTAGCCGTTGCCCAGCCTCCGCACCGGAATAACACTTTAAAGTCAGTGTACGTAAACATTGAAATGCGGTGAGACTATGATAACAAGGATTCTGTACGGACAATCATTATATGTGTCGGGGATGGTGGATACACAACAAGCTTAGCGAAGTACACGTGTGCGCATCTTGTTCACACACGGCAAGGAAGGTTGCAAACGCATATCTCTGGATTACAAACGGATATAATACAGAATGTCCCGCTTGGTTCGGCAACGTACACTCTTGTAGACCCCTTCGATGCACCAAGTATCGTACAAATTTGGACAGGTTCATACGTGAATCACCGATGCAAACATTTAGCTCGCTGATTACCTCATTATGAAACCGATACACACACACATAGGGGACACAATAAACCGCCAAATAAAAATCTACACACAGATACCGACACGTGTATCTCTCGCAATCACTATATATATATGTCATGACGACACACACACAATTATCCAACATCAGATACGCTCAATCCGCAGTTACACACCAACCACAGATACACCCACGTGAAATACCTATGCAGAAGTAATCACCAAAGTGTTTCCGCGTCAATTGGACCATATCTAACGCCTTATTCAGCACTTTTAATGGTTCGGCTTGTGCTTTGGGGTTGTTTCTCTTATGTATCACGGGTTCATCACCACGAATGATAAGCAAGTTTTGGATTTGTGCATCCTTGGCGGCGTTGAGGATTTCCAGACACTTGTCCTCGGTCATGCCTGGGGAAAGAATAATTTAAACTATCGTATGACTACGATTATATACAACTGGGCCATAGGAACACCCGCACAATAAAAACAGGCCTGTACAAGCCTCTAGTATCAGAACGTATGCAAAACACAGGAGAATATATACGTATGCAAAACAGAGTGGCTAGCTAAAGACAGGTGGATCATGTGTTTGTTTTTAAACATATACAATCAGCATTGATAAAATTTTAAAACTACCTATACAGGCCACATGCAGCATGGCGTCCAATGAGAACGCTCGTTGAGCCACCTTGCATATCTCCAGCGAAATCTCCCACGTTTCTCCACCGGAGGCATACGTCACATCAATGAATAACGGGCCCTATATTTTAGATACGAAGTACAAATGCAGTTAGAAAAGTAGTATATGATATCCAATGGGTCGTATATTTAAAATACGAGAGATAGATGCAGTCATAAAGAAAGAAAAAAACCCCTAAAACGCAATAAATGTATAATTGTAAGGTATATGAATGACACAGAATCGTGGTACAAACTTGAACATGCAAAGTTTATGTTGCTCATCACATATCAATACATTTCGCCTATCCATTCTTGGGTTCAGGAATACTACTTATATCAAGGGATATCAGCACAACGTGTTTACCGTACAAAGATAAGATTGATGTAAACTATGCATTATCAATAACGAATATGTCTTATATATATAAATACAGTTTGGCGTAAAATGCCTCCAGCAAGATAATCGAACTTGTCACTAGTCGCATGTTCCCGTGGATGCACCTTTTCCTACACGTTTCATCAGGGTTGAGTATATCACTGAACATTGTTTGAATGTGTGTTTTAGTATATATATATACACACATATATAAATATGTAAGTGTACGTACCACAAATTTCAAACAACTTGTAGGCTAAACCTGTATGAAATATACACAGTTGGACGTCAATTGAATTGAATGTACACGACAGTCACAGATATTCAATATTCACAGTGTCTTGGTATAGTGTCACTTCCAATATACAAAATTATACCATATAATCAATAGAAAATATAGGCACACAACTCGAAAAACATATGTCTGTAGTCGACAAGAGATTGTCATTTGACGAACAACGTAACGATAATACACGAAGTCAAGATTTGCACATCTATACATTCTGCAAGAATAAAATTGGTACCAATTTGTGTATGAAATATAAACTCAAAACTCGATACCAAGGCATCATTTGTAGTTAACAACACGCCTTCATGGGAATATGTTTACAATTAAACTTACCTGCATATACTAAACCACCAACCACAAACAACACTTATACATAAAACAAACATACCAAGCTTCCCAATCGAGCCAATCGCGGATATAAATTCTGAAGACCTGCAACGGTCTTCGGCGGAAAAACTTCGATTGAGAATTGGTATGGACAGTTTGTTGCTGGTTCGACAGTGCTTTCATCAATCGCCAGAAAACCTATCGACTTCCGAAGTGCTGTCTCAGCCGTTTGTACGAGCTTGTCTGTTATTCTCATGATTGCAATTTAATTATAAGCTATTAACGGTGCACTTTTGTGGTATGATGTTGTCGAAGTCTAGGTAATATAGATTGTACAAAACCCTTGGAGAAGTACTGTAGTGTATCTCTTTGCTCTCCTTTTTTACTCTCCTCCAGTAGTCTGTGGTACTGCTCTTCTCCTTGTTCCTTTGATACCGTGATGAAGCAATGACGATACCAAAGGAATCGCCTTTGGGCATTATGTGTTTACAAACGCGTCATGTGTACTTCGAAACCCTAGTGTGATGATAACTCTAAACTATACTCAGCAAGAGAACCCTAGTGTGATGATAACCCTAAACTATACTCAGCAACAGAGAGAGAGAGGAGTCTGTAATATCAGATTTGAGATTATTCATAGAGCCACTTGAAATAATTTTTCATAGCCTTCTAAATAAATATTTAAATATTCCTCCTATTTTTTTAATTTAATATTTAGAACATTTGTTTAGGAGGCTAATAAGAATTTTCTATATAAAGAATTTAAAAAACAGATTGTGTTTGTACATGAATATTTAGATCAAATAACCATAGCACTCTGGATTAGTGGATTAGGGTGCGAGCAGAAATCAGGTTTCTCGTCGCGGAAATCTTATTTTTTATATTAAACATTTAGCAGTGACCCAAATCAGGGCCATGAAACTCCCACAACAATAATTAGCGGAATAGGGAGGCTCGGAGTCTCGGGGCTCGGGCCTCCTCTGACTCTGAGTGTCCTGACTCATTTTTAAATTTTAAGAGGCTATGAAATAACCTAAAACCCTGGACCCTACATTTCCGAGATCAAGAAGATAATAAACAGAGCTGATCGGAATCGCAGTGAGGATGCTGTAACAACTCCATAGCCACCTGCATACGTAGCCAATGTCTTCAATGTGTGCACATATGTCGTGCTTGGCCTCATTAATTGTGTAAACTTTTATCCACGGACAATTGATGCTTCTATATATTCCTGTGAAGTAACCGACGAACAAACTTGAAATTAGATACCCTACAAGCAAGCAAGCAAGAATGGCTAGTAGGGGACTTCTCGACGAGCACAACAGTGACTCCGACGATGATGACTCGCTGATCGGCCTGGAGGTAATTATGTGCTTTATAGTTTACCCCATATCAAAGGACGGACGTATTTCTACGTATTTCCAGGTTGTCTCGTTTTCCAATAATGGTGATCGTATCATCTTCCGTCCACAGATAGTGTGCGATTAAAGTGGGAGCGCACAGAGAACCATATAAAAGACTGCACGATACTTGTCTTCTGAAGTAATCGAACTTGAATGTAAGATTTTTCTATATGTGCATGGACTCGAATACAAATGTGATTATTTCTTTACAGAACGAAGAAATACATCCACCCATCCATCCACCAACACCCACCTCACCATACACATAATTTTACACCTATGTGTTGCACTATATAGAAAGGTAGTACGCGATACTTTTACACCTATGTGTTGCACTATATATATATATATATATATATATATATATAATTATACTAATAATAACTACAC